TCCCCCCCCCCGCCACGAAGGGGCCAGTGCGTGCCACCTGGCCTGCTGGGACCTGTGACACAGACACCTGCTCCCTCCCATACCAGCGCACCCCCCCCAACCGGAGAGTGGGAGCTGCGGGGGGGCCCTGCGTACCTGAGCTGGGGCATCCGGCTCCCCCATCGGGCACAGAGCTGGGGACACAGTTTTCCTGAGGGAAACACAAGCCCGTTAATGCCACCTCTGTGGTCACCCAAAACCCTGCCCAGGGCCCTGCCAGGATCCCCCGCCCCCCAAGATACCCCCTGCCACCTCCAGCCCAAAGCTAAGTCTCACCTCCAGTGGGGAGGGCAAGGAGACCCCACAGCAGGGGCAGGGTGTGGGGGAGAAGCCGCTACTAGGCCAGGGCTGGGCATCTCCAGAGACGTGCTGGCAGCTGGGTTCTGCTGGGGGAGGACTCCTGGGAAAGCAGCCCCTCACCCAGGATCCTGGGGCCAGCAGGCCCACGGGCACGGGCAGGATTTGGGCAAGTCCGAGCCTATCTGCCCTGCTCCCACACCCCAGGACTGAGCTGCCCCTCCACCCCCCGCATAGTCTCTCCCCAGGTCTCCGCTGGCCCCCTTACCACGGTGCTGATTTGGGCCCCACTCTCCAAGGCCCGCAGCGCCTTCTCCCCCCGGCCGCCCCTCGGCTGGCTCAGGCCCAGCTGCCGGCTCAGCGCCTCGCGGAAGAAGTCACGGTTGCCGTAGTAGATGGGGGCGTGGTAAGCCATGATCTTCACGCCAGGGATCTCAAAGCACTGGGGGGGGGGGGGACAGAGCGCTGGCTGCAGCATGGGAGGCAGGCCGTGGGTGTGGGTGTCTGTCTGCCCCCCTCCCCCCCGCCCCAAACAGAGAGGGAGGTTTGGGTGCTGAATTGCCCCATGGGGGTGGGGAAGAGGGCTGAGAGATCAGCCCTGCCTCTCGGGACACGGACACCCCCCTACACAGGCCAGTCTGGGTGCCATCCGAATGGAGCCCAGGGCAAGCCCCTACCCACATCCTTCCCAATGTACCCCACTCCCCAGCGCTCTCAGCCAGCCTGCCCCAGGTGGGTGGCTGGGAGCCCCAGGTCGCACCCAGGCCCTGCAGCACCCGTACCTTGCTGTGGCATTGGACAGGCCGGTAGATTTCCGTGTCGGCCGCTTTGCCCAGCGCCATGCACTCGGCCCTGTGGGAGAGGAAGGCGTATCAGGTGGGGAGACGTCTGGCCGTGCCAAGGCTGGGCCGGCACCAGTCCCGGCTGGAGAAGAGATTCCCATCTCCCCCAGCAGGAGGGCCTTGGCCGAAGACAGGGACAGCAGCTGGGAAGGCAGATTCCTGCCTCGAAACTCTGGTCCCGTCTTCCTCCTCCTCTGATCACCAGGTCTCCAAGCAGCCATGGCCGGCCGGCTCCTTGGGGGGCTTGTGCCTGGAGCAGGGGGCGGAGAGAGCTGCCCCCCAGCCCATGCCAGAGCCGGATGCAGCTCCCTGGCTCTGCAGGTTGCCAGCAAGCGAGCCCGGCCGTGGGACAGGACAGGGCGCCTGGCACTCCGGTACCTCTGCGTGCGGCAGATGACTGTCATCATGGAGAACACGACCCCAACGGCCAGGCCCACGTCCACATTCAGCACCACCACGGCCAGCCAGGTGACCACCCAGACAGCCTGAAACGAGAGTGCGGGCTCAGAGGGGAGACGGGGAAGGGAGACGTCTGGCCAGCTGGTCCCACCGGGGCTCATACACTTGCTGGTCACACATACAGGACCCAGTGAGGTTACACCAGGGGCCAATCTACCCTAAAAGTCTCCGGAGGCAGCGTGGTCTAGTGGGTGGGGCACCCAGTGGGGACTTGGAGAGCCAGGTACTAGGCCCACAGCCCTGCTGTGCGCCCTGGGGCCTCTGCCCTCTCCGTGCTGCCAACCCCTTGTCTAGTTCGACTGGGAGTTCGGGGACAGTCTCGCTCTGTGCCAGGCACTGCCCTGGCACAATGGGGCATCTCCAGGTCATCGAAACCCCCCCTAATGCTAGTAACCAAGGAGCACAGCCCTGATCACGCCATGGGACCATCGAGGCTGGTGCCCCATGGGCCGGAGAACTCTGCCTCTGGGGGAGTTGGCACGTACTGGGCCCCAGTCCTCTGCTCCGGCTGATTTCAGTGGGGTGGAGCAGGCCCGGAACAGCTCCTGGAGGGCAATGCACACCCCGTACCCTGGGGCAGCGGCATGCCCGGCTCCGGCACCAAACCCAGGGCCCGCCCCGCCCTGCCCGGGGACAGGTGCGTTGGGGGGGTCGCAGCGGCTTACGAAGTCAATCCGGCTGACCCTCCAGAGCTCGGGCAGGTCCCAGAACTGCAGGACCATCTGGCGCAGGCTGGTGACATTGATACAGGCCAGGACAGCCTAAGGGGGGGAGAACGGGCATGAGCGGCGAGCTGCCAGCCCCTGCCCTGTGCTAGCTGGTGCCAAGGCAGCCGTGGAAGGGAGCTCTTCCCAGGATGACGGGGGAGGGAGGAAGAGAAGAGCCAGCTAGTCACTGGGTGGGGGGGCAGCTGCTAGTGGGGGAGGGGCAGCCAGCCATTCGGTAGGAGGAAGTGGGGTGTCTGCCGTCGTCCAGGAGCCCCCACCCAACCCAGGCTGGATCCCCCAGGCGAGGGCAAACCCCCACCAGCACACAAGGTGTTTGGGCATGAGGGAAGTCTGTGCCCAATGGGGAGGGGGCATTGGGCTTGGCACGCCCCAGGGGCGATGGGGGTGGGGCACCTTCCCCAGGGTACGCGCACGCCCCCAGCCTCACCTTGGGCAGGTAGCGGAAGAGGGGTCCGAGCCACATGAGGACCATGAGGACCACCGCGCTGGAGAAGAAGCCAGCGAGCTGCAGAAGAGGAGGGCGGGTTAGCGGGCAGGCTCTGCCCGGGCGGTGAGGGAATGCAGGGCAGCACAGAGGAAGCCCTAGACCCCAGAGAAGCCCCCCACCCTTCATGCCCCACTCGAGGCCTCAGTGCCAGCCTCCTCTGCCCGGTGTCTGCAGAGGAGAGGGCTCCAATTGTGCCCAGCCACACAGGCCAACTGGCCACCAAGCTGAGACCTGGCAAACTCATTGCATGAACCAGCCAGGGCTGCAGGGAGGAATGGGGGGGACCCCACTAGCTAGGGAGCATGAGAAACTCACCCTCCAGACACACCCCATGGCTCCCACCCCCAGTTCTGCAGCCCCCCCCCCGTACCCCCATACCTGCGTGTGCCCCCCCGCGCTCTCCAGGATGTTGGTGGTCGCCAGGGTGGCTGAGCTCGGGAAGCAGGTGAAGAGGGAGGAGACCAGGTTGGAAACACCGTGGGCCAGCAGCTCCTGTGGCGGGGGGGGGGACGGGGGACAGAGACAGGTCAGGGCTACAGGGACCAGCCAGGAGGGAGCCCAGATGCACCAGGGGCAGGTGAGACATTGGGCCTTCCAGCTGGAAGAGGGGCCAGGTGGGCGGAAGGGGGCCCCGATCCTGGGCAGCCGCTGGCAATAGAGGGGCCAGGCCAGGCAGGGCAGTGCCCTCTGCCAGCAGCCCGAGTCCGGCCCACACACCTGGTTGGGGTTGATGGTATAGCCGTGCTTCTCGGCGTAGATCATGGCCAGCGACACAGAGACAGCATAGGCCACGAAAGCAATGGCCACCGTGTCCCCCAGCACCTGGGGCAGCGACTGCAGGGCCGGGAGCTGGGGCTGCGGGAACCTGCGTGAGAGACAGAGGCGGTCACCAGGCTGGGTGGGGCGAGAGGGGCTGCGCTGGTCCAGTCCCCGTAGGATGCAGCCTTGGGGGTACACTGAGGTTGCCCCCATGTGAGGTCACAGAGGGGGTGGGCAGCGGGCCCTGGGGACTCCTTACCCAGCTGGCAGGTGGCCGACTATCTGCACGTCGTAGCGCGTGTCCAGGGAGGAGGCAAAGCAGACGCCAGTGGCCGCCAGCACCTGGGGAGAGAGCAGAGGGCCGGCGGGTTATGCCGCCCAGGGTGGTGCCAACCCTCCCATGCCCACGGCCCATCACCCACCCCCGCTCCCCCAACCCCCGGCTCTTCCCCGCGCTGCTCAGAGGACCTGGCTGCAGGTGCAGGGCCGGGGGAGCCCCGGGCAGAAGGAGGCAGCGCAGGGGACGGGCAGAGCCGGGCAGGGCAGGGGTACGTACCACCACGATCTCCCCTGGAATGGGCGTCCGCAGCTTGCTCCGGAAGCGGCTGTTGATTTCCTTGATGGGCACCAGCAGGGCCAGGCACAGGACAGAGATGAGCAGCTCGGCCACGTTGGTCCGGGGCAGCGCCCGCGCCACCGATGCCAGCGTCTGGGGGCAGCACAGGGCGTATTACGCAGTGGGGGGAGGGGGAGAGCCTGCTCCCAGCTCCCCTCCCCCACCATTCCGCCTCCCTGCCCTTTCTCTCGCCTCTGCCCCACGCTCTCCTCACCCCCCCACCCCCCGGGGCCGGACGCACCTTGAAGATGGTGAAGGAGCCGGTGGGGCGGGGCAGGGCCAGGCCCAACAGGCTGGGCAGCTGGGAGACCAGGACATGCAGCGCGGCCCCATTGGTGAAGGCCTTGACAATGGGCTCTGAGAGGTAGGTGGCCAGGAAGCCCAACTGCACCACGAACATCACCAGCTGGGGGGCAGGGGGAGGGATGTCAGCAGTGCCCGGGGCAGGGCATGGTGCCCAGTGCAGGGCATGGTGCCCAGTGCA